AGTATTTTGATTCTTGTCGTAGACATTGGAGATTATTGGGTCTCGAATTCCAGGGTTTATTTTAATAAGCATCCGATTAGTGGTACTTTTGGCCGTTAATCTTGATTTTGCCAATTGATTCATATCATCTTGCTCAAGGAGTCTGAATTAATCTGGGTTCAATGTGTTCTTAAAGAGTTAAAACTTTAGAGGACCGAGTCCTTAAGACTGTACTGTGACAACAAATCAGCAATCAACATAGCACATTATCCGGTCCATCATGATAGAACCAAACATGTCGAAGAGGATAAACATTTCATTAAAAAAAATTGATGGAAAGGAATTATGTGTTCTATACATACCCAGTAAGCAGCAGCAACAGGCTGATATACTAACCAAAGGTTTATCAAAAGGAAGTTTCAATGTTAGTTTGCAAGCTGGGCATGTGGAATCTCCAGCACCAGCTTGATGGCCAATGAACAGGGGAATACAAAAAAGTAATAAGAGAGGCGCACAGACCAATCAATCGCCTCTTCAATGAACACTGGTTCTTCGATCAAGTTTTTTGGGGCATCTGAGAATGATTCGAGCCGTATGAAGGGAAATATTTCTTTATAGTTCTATATGTGGGAGACCTTCCAGCAAGGGTTGGGGGGGTGTAGAAAGTATATGTAATTGATTGATATCTCTCCCGAATGGGGAACGAGATCTGTATTGTTGGTATTGTTTCTGTATTTAGGGTAATTATAGGTTGTCATAGAATCTCTAAAGTTAGCGTAGAATATTTGGTATTTTATTTTCCATATCCTTTTACAGGGCCTATATAAAGGCATGCTACTCCTTGATCACATTCAAAGCCTATTCTCTCTACAAAAGATATTATTGATGATTCTTAAATAATAGGATCTTTAGACAGGGTATAGCCACCTGCTAGCTCATGGTGAACAAAATTTTACTACATTTTGACAGATTGCTGATATGATAGCAGTGTCGCGAATGATGAATGCAACCCTAGTAATTCCTGAACTTGATAGACGCTCATTCTGGCAAGACAAAAGGTAACCTTAAGTGCTACTACATTACCCCCCCCCCCTCTCTCTGTCACACTCACACGCACATTTAACATTGTCTCTCTAATTGGCTGTTGTGCAGTATATTTTCAGATATCTTTGATGAAGACCATTTCATTGATAGCTTAAAACATGACGTGAGAATCATAAAGAAGCTTCCTCCGGAGTTGCTCTCTGTTCCTCGAGCAAGGAAGCACTTCACGTCTTGGGCTGGTTTAGGTTACTATGAGGAGATGACCAAATTATGGGCAGATTATCAGGCATGTAGTTTCCGTACTCTGTTATGCCTTCCTTCTACAGTCTTTCTAAGTGTCATTGCTTTATGAAAAAAGAAATTGAATTATTAGGTGAACAAAAAAACATTTATCGTGTATATCTATAAAAGGTGACATCTGCTTTGAGGTATGGTTTGTATCTATAAATCCCATTTCTTTTGATTTAAGTGAAGGTCTATGCTTATACTTGTTCAGTAATCTGAGAATGATAGTATATACATCTTTTATGATTGCTACTAAACACCCCTTTTCAGCTTTGATGAACCATCCATTTTTGTCTGGGGAAGTACCATCATTCCTTGGTATGAAATGACCTACTTCAAATTGGTTTCGAGTCTTTGTTAGGAAATGTGCCACTTCAAATAGGTGGAGAAACGAAATAACAAATCCAATGGACTTCCATTTCTTTATGTCCATTGAACCACTGGATAGAGAAAGCTTGTGATCTAGTCTGGATAGCATATTAGCATTAACATACTCAAAAATCTTGTGTTGTACATAGAAGATTTTGGCCGCTGTCCAAAATAGTAATCAGCTTTTGTCCATGATGCTTTTGTTATGTAGTTTGCCAGTCCAATACTATATCTGAACTTAGCAGGAAGGAAGATCGGTATGGCATCATTACGCCTGCGAGCATGATAAAGATCAAAACCATATGCGGCATATATGAAGGAAATACGTGTGCACCTAATATTATTTAACCTCATTTACATGTCCCCTGTTTGTTGTCCGCCACTGACGAGTAGTGGTGCAAGACAAGACTTATGGAGACTCTGATTAAGGTTGAAATAATTATGGCTTGTAGTAGTAAGGGGTTTTAGTGGTGGTTAAGGTCTTATTTGTATCTTACTCTGCCTGTCTGTCCTGCTGCTTGTGCTGTTCTTCTGTCATTCTATTGGCTGCCACCATTTTTCTACCATCTTGTAGTTGCCGTCTGCATCTGTTTGCCATCTATGACCTCTGGTAAGCCCGGTACACTACATGCTGTTAGTTTGCTGATCTAACTTGTCCTTTCCCTGGTCTGACTTTTATTCCCGACCTTGTTAAACTGACACCACCATTGATATCTGCTGTATACTTGTGTACACAGGAATTTAAAACCATCCTCTCTTCGAACCATGTCAAGCAGACCCTAGTTCTCACAGAATGAACTGTAGATTGATCTGGTGTATTTGACCTTGGTTCAGCCTTGGGTGAGGCCATCATATCTTGTGAGTTTACCCATCTCCTTGGTGCCGACATGTTTGATGCATTCCGTCAGCTGCATGATCTGGCTTAGCTGGCCCATTTATCCCTCTTACTGATAGTAGCTGGCACCTGGCACAGACCTTCTGACATCTGGAAATCTTTATGAAGGGTTTTTTCTGTTTCCCTATGTTGCGGGGCGGCACTTTTCGTCTCTGGAATTAGGGTTGGAAGTTCTCAGCCATCAGCTGGAATCTAGACGGTTAGTCTGTTCAAAAGATGAACAGGGTTTTCTTGTTATTTCTTGAAAATTCCGAGGTTTTTCTGAGTAACCTTAAATTCAGGTTGTTTCTGTACAACTGTTCCCTGGAAACTGCTCTATTGTGATTGTTGTGTTCTGCTGTCTGTCCTGCTGTTTTCTCTCTTGGGTTTTCTGCCCTTCCCATGTCTTCTGTTATAGCTGGTGGTCTGCTGAATTTTTTCTAGTCCACTGCTCTTATCTAATCAGTGTGTTTGCTCTATTTCAAGTTCATCTGTCAGCTATACCTTTCAAAATCATTATTCATAACAATATGCATAAAAAGATAAAGGAAAAACATGTTGGCTATATCCAGATTCTTGAGGTTGAGGTTAGCTGCTCCTATTGAAGCTGAGGCAGTCTGTTGAGGTTGCCATCGGTTTTGCTCTGTGTTTCAGTGTTCCGAACCTCCTTCCAGGTGTCCTTCGTGGTTTCGTTTTTGTTTTGTTTATTCTTTTTTACCTTAGAGTCTGTCTGTTCTTGATAGGACTCGGTTGCTGGCTGATTGACACCCAGTGTTCCATCTGTTATCTTCTGCTCCTTTGAACAAATGCCTATTACCATAACTTCTGATGCTTTATAGATCTACAGTATGGTACATATATGAGCTGACGAGTGTTCTTTGTTATCAAGTTGGGCATGTTCTAACTGAGGAGTTTTCTGCTTTCTTGTCCAGTTGGCTATGATTGATATCTATTCTCCAACTTGAGGAGTGTTAGGGTTAGCTTCTGTGTGAACCAATAGTGGAGAATACATGACTTGATACTGTTAGTTATGTTAGGCTCAGGTTCCGTTTATGGTTGTTTTTTTTTTGGCTCTTAGTCTCTTTGTGCCTCAATATATATATGTGTGTGTGTGTATAGGGATGATCAAACGAGAACAGGGTCAAAATAAATGAACAAGAAAACGGCCAAATCACGTGTGATTTTATATGCAACTACGAAAAGCGGTCAACTCAAGGGTGAGCAGGCGATGTGCCGCAACCTATCGCGTGAATCACATGCGATTTTACATGTGATTTTAGTGTAAAATCACATGTGATTTAGCCGTTTTCTTGTTTTCTTATATGAACCCGACTCTCTCTCTCTCTATATATATGTGTGTGTGTGTGTGTGTGTATATATATATATAGAGTTAGGTTCTAGGGGAAACCCTCCAAAAACTGAAAAATTTAGGAACACCCTAATAACCATTAATCTGCATGATATATTGTAGAATAGTAATTAGATATGGATTAATGGAGAGTTATAGATAGACTCTAATAAGGAAACGTTTGTAGATAAGTGTTTATCCCATATTGTTAGGAGTTGGAGTTGTAGTTGTAGTATATCTCCTAACCTCTACTTGTATACATAGTTCCTTATGCTGTAATCAACATATAGTAGAAAATAATGTTCCTCCTACTTCTCTAAAGCTTTTATGGTATCATAGCTCTAAAAAACTTTGATTCTTTTCTTGATTTTTTTTTCTTAACAACTCTAGCGTGAACAGTAACTCCGTCGTGAACAATGTTTAGTCCACCACCATGGGATCAGACCCAGAAAAATCGAACCAGTCAAAAAGCATTCCTAATGCTGCCAATTCCGAAAACAATCTATCTCTCCAAATAGCTTTAAGTTGTCCGGATCGAACTACCTTCAATGGTCTCGATTTGTCCAACTCGTTATTCGAGGGAAGGGGAAGCATGGCTACATCGATGACTCCATTGAAAAACCTTTACCCACAGATCCCTCGTTTGCTAAAGTAAACCTTTACCCACAGATCCCTCGAACAAAATGCCCCCCAAACAAACACACGACTTTTAAAGTAAACCCCTCACTCTACTGGACGATGTCCAATTACAATTATGCCCCTATTCTCTTTATTTACTCTACTCCCCCTTTTAACTCCCTAGGACGCAAACTTGTTTCACTTATTCCTCGGAGCATAAGTAAACTGGACTGGAGGCTTAGCATATACCCTCCCCACCTTGGGTGAGGTTGGAACCCTTGACCTCTAGGAAGGTTGGGTCACGGGATACTGTTAGGCCAAAGGCCCTTTGGTCTCTCAATATATATCTTAATTTTTGCTCCAAGTTTTTTGGTGCCATTACTTATGGTATTTATCATTTAAATAACTACATTTTTTGTATATTCAAGTATCTGCACTTAAATCTATTTTTTGAGCATTAATGATTTCTTTATGCAGGTGATTCATGTTGCAAAATCAGATTCTCGATTAGCAAACAATGATCTACCACTTGATATCCAGAGATTGCGTTGTCGTGCTCTGTATCATGCTCTTATATTTTCTCCTTCTATTGAAACCTTTGGGAAGGTATGATTCTCGTCATAATCACCTCAGTATGTGATTTTCTGACATAATCTTTTGATTACATAATGCATGAAATTGGCACAATTTTTTTCTAGTCATCTTGATAACACTTGTGTGTTGTGTGTAATGAAATTTATGAAATCTACTCTAGGAAGAGTTTGGATGATAATCATGTGAGGAATTTTCTGGTGTATCATGTTTGAGAACTTGCATAGATTTATTGATCAAACCACAATTCTTGTTCCTAATTCACTATATGTTATGTATATCTATATGTTGGTGAATTTAAAAAGTAGTCTATGAGGATTTATTTTAAATTAGTCCCCAAGCATACCCTTCATAGGCACCTTTCCATAAACCATATCTATCCAGTATATTCTTTTGATTACGTCTTACACTTTGTGCGAAGCAATATTTATTTCTTCATTGTTGATGATGATGATGATTGCCTGTAGTGAAAACCAAGAAACAACAATTAGGAAGAGTTGGGATTAATGTCGTTTGTTCAAGTCTAAAACCTATTGACTTTAAACTTGCATAGTTGAATTAGTTAAATTAGAGATTCTTGTTCCTAAGGGAAGTTCCGTTAGGAACCCCAAATTGATTAGGAACCCAGGAACCGTCAATAGCGCACCCCGGGACCCTTTTTCGCGATGAATATTCACCCTGAATATGGAAGTGTTATTCATCATGAATCACACATTCATGATGAACATGGAAGTGTTATTCATCATGAATCACACATTCATGATGAACATGGAAGTTCTATTCATCATGAATAAACATTCATGATGAAATATGCTACAACAATCATGATGAAATATGTTACAACATTTATGATGAAATACGTTACAACATTCATGATGAATAATGCGTCCATATTCTTGATGAATGTCACGTGCATCGTTGTGGGCAATTCCCAGGTTCCTAATTAGTTTTAGGTTCTTGACGGAAGCTACCCCTGGTTTCAAATTCAATATATGTCATGTGTACCCCATGCCCGTATGTTGGTGCATTTAAGAAGTCACCGATGGGGATTTCTTTTATATTAGGCCCTGAGCATACATGATGGTGACACCGCAGAAGCTAGTTGAGCGGCTCAGATCGCATGGGGGAAGATATATTTCTCTTCACCTGAGATATGAGAAAGATATGCTGGCTTTCTCCGGTTGTACATATGGCCTGTCTTCTGCAGAATCTGAAGAGCTGAGATTGTTGAGGTGAAAAGTTTATTCAGTTATCTATTAACATTCATGTCTAAAGTTGCCAAACTTTGCATTTTAGTGTGCCAAGGTTTTACATCTTGGAAAATAAAGCGTACACAAAGTTGGGAAGCTTTTTGTTTGGGAGGGTTTTTCATAGATGCAAGGAGCGTGCTTTTATAATTGGGAGGGGCAGGTTTGGGGAAAAACTTGGCTTTCTGCGTAAATCTTCCCCGTAGAAGCTTACTGAATAAGCCACTTTCTATATCATTAAGCCACTACCAAACAGTATACCTGACCGAATAAAGCTGCGAGTCCCATTAAGCTCATTAAGCTGCTAACAAACATACACTAAACGAGTTTATCTAAGAGTGACAGAAATTTAAACTAATATATCCAGAATGTCTTCTTACTTGAATGCCTGGGAAAAAATCTTATCAGATTTACTGCTTTATGGTTGAGTAATGTAGATATAAGGCTATTTATGGTTATAGCCATTTGTTTGTCCTTATATTGTTTATCACATTTACTCTCTGGTGCATCTCCAGCTAATCCAAAGGATGCGTAATTACATAATTTTACGAAGCTCTGATTCATGCCACACCCATAAACTAACGTAACCTCTTAATCTTATTAGTATTTTACATCTTCATATGTTTGTCAGCCCACTGGCCGATGTGTGTACCATGTCATCAGGGCTCTCCCCAGCTGAAATACAGTTTCAAGTCTTCCCCAGAAATAGTACACATTCTTTCATACCCGTAATATATCTACAACTCTTAATGATGGGATATTGTAAAGCACTGAGGTCCCATTTGGTTTGCTGAATTGGACTGCGTTTGGAGGGATTCGGAATTGAATTCCATTGCAATCTTTGTTTGGTTTGAAGGATTTCCTAGATTTGAAATCCTGGGATTTCAATGAAATCCCACGGGGGTGGTTGGTATTTCGTAGGATTTGTATGTAATAATGTTTTAAATGGATTGGGTTCCAATGAGAAGGGAAACTATGGTGAGAAGCATAAATTGAATGTCAACATGAGGTGCACGAGATTTACCGAATCAATTCCCTTCTAAAGCAAAATTCATGGGTGGCATGAGATTAAAAGTGATCAAGGGTTGAGATCTTTTTTATGCTTCTCACCATAACTTCCCTTCTCACACGATACTTTGTGCGTTTTAAAAGAGGTAATTTAATTATTTTTATAATTATTTATGAATTATTTATACATTTTTTATAAATTATTTATAAAGAATGAAGTTTAATTCCATTCTAAATCCTATAAACCAAACACACCAAAGGTTCCAAATCCTTCCATGAAATCTAAATCCCTCAAAACCATTCCATCAAGCCAAATGCCCTCCTGAGATTCTGCCATTGGATTGAATATGGTCAAAATCTAATGGAGGATTATGGATTCATTTAAAACTGCAATCGAAGTACATAAAAGATATAATTGAAATACAGAAGTGGTCAATGTGGTCTAAACAGCAGTTCTGTTACATGCTAGCATCCGTCTTCCACATCTCATGAATTTTGTTCATTGGTGTTATCGCAGAGAAAACACAAATCACTGGAAAGTAAAGAAAATAAATTCAACAGAGCAGAGAATTTCAGGTCTATGTCCATTAACTCCCAAGGAGGTTGGAATTTTTATTCAGGCTCTTGGTTATCCTCAGTCAACAGTTGTATATATTGCTGCGGGGGAAATTTATGGTGGTAAAGCTCATCTTTCAGAGCTCACTTCTCGTTTCCCAAATGTAGTATTCAAGGTTTGCTTATTCAAAACCTGGCGTTTTATATTTGCAATTGTGGCCGTTGTTCTGTAAGAAAATTGAATCAAATGATGACAGGAAATGATAGCCACTGAAGAAGAGCTGGAAATATACTCGAATCATGCTTCACAAACCGCAGCACTTGACTATATAATCTCTCTTGAGAGTGACGTATTCATGCCAACACATTCGGGTAACATGGCAAGAGCTCTTGAAGGTCATCGCAGATTTTTAGGCCACCGGAAGACTGTTAGTCCTGACAGGTACCCAAGCATTGGATCATTGTTGTGTGTCTTCTTATCCATTTTGATAGATTTTCCCTTGTAAATGACTAGAAGAATCATGCTTTTGTTTATGCTCTAGTTCACCATATATGGAATTATGACCAGTGGTTCATTCGAAGAAGTGTAGGACCAAGATAAAGACTACCTCAATATAGAATAGAAGATTAAATGAGAATCCTTTGAAGGCAACAAATAGTACATTGAAAGTATTGTCTTAATGTCAGAGTGAATTTGGGTGCTGCAATGATAGCTCGAGTGGAAACTCTACCCGAGTTCTCCAATTTCATGTACTCAATGCACCTAACTAACAGGAAAAAGTCTAGTGTAGAAAGTGGAAATTGGACTTTTGAGTACTTAAAAAGTCATGTAACGATTGGACCCTCAGAAAATTGAGATTCACACTTTTTGAGTAGCCCTATAATCCTATGGACGGGTTCCTAAGGTGTGCGTGCTGCCATTTCCACTAGGGGTTTGAAGAGGAAGATTAAAATGCCTGCTCAAAGTGTGTTCCAAACTGGTGATGACGATGGCGGCTGGGATGACGACAATGATGGCGTTGGTGACGACGACGGTGATAATGGTGGCCGCAATGGTGGTAGTAGTGATGGTGGAGGCGACAGTGGTGACGGTGGTGGTGGTGGCGATTGTGACAGAGGCGATGGTAATGATGGTAGCAGAGACTGTGATGGTGGTGGTGGCGGTGGTGGTAATGACCGTCGTGGTAGGATGGAATGGGTTGGAGTAAATATAAGAGATGAATAGTTTTTCTTAAAAGATGGGGTGAAAAGGAAGAGTGCAAAAAACTCCAAATGGGAGTAAGTAGTACCTATGTTTTTGCATATTTCATTAGTATATATTCTTCTATGGTGACAATTGGACAAGATGGATGAAAAAGATTTTAGTATTTCAACCTAGGGGTCTAATGAAGGCCTTTGCATGCCATCTATCACTGGTAGGATGTAGTTTTTCAAAAGAAAAAAGGTACATCATGACTTCCATGCCGAAGGAAGAAAAACCGTATACCAAACGTCTACCTGGTGAGCGCTATTCAGGTGTCACTAGCATTAGCGGGTGGGTGACCAAGAATCTTACCTAGTAAGAGGCATAACAAGGACCGATAATCTTACCTGGTAAGTGAAAGAGAAAACTCTTACCTGGTAAAAGACACTTTATCAACAATCCATTTTAATGGTCAGGAATGTTCTCCAATAAGGTAAGTGAGGGTGGTGACCATTGTCAGTAACCGTTTGGTAAATGGTATGGTTATATAGATACATGGAAAAATATCTGATAAAAACCCTTGTGACAAAATTCTGTTACTTGTACTTGTTAACTTTTTCTCTATCTTGAACTTATGTCATGCTTATATCTCTAATGGTGTCCTTTTGATAAATGGAATTACCAGGAAAGGTCTTGTGGACATTTTTGATAAGTTGGAAAGTGGACAACTCAAGGAAGGATTAACATTGCAACAACTTGTTAAACACCTGCATGAGAAGAGGTAACGTATTTGGATCTTACTTCTCCTCGTTGGTTGGTTTTCATTTATTTATTTGTAGGTTTGAATTTTGGAGGAAAAAAATCATTTTCTTTTTGGTTAAAAACCTAGAGTAGCTCCAATGGCTATGATAAAATAGAGATTTTGGATATTATTTCTCTATATAAGATAAAGAAATAATATTTTAATTCTTTCCCTCCAATTAGAGGAATTGAAATTAAATGGGTAGGAGGGAGAAATAATATTTTATTAATGTATTAAATATTTTAATAATATAGTTAAGGATAGAATTGCTAAAACATAGTAAGTAACCGTTAAAATTCGATGTAATTTTTTCTAGAGATTTTGACTTTTGATATTCTATTTTTGAAAAATTATAGTATAGCTGTTGGAGATGCTTTAACCATACGAACACAGTATATCGCACCGGATGTGGGGTCTGGGGAGGGGAAATGGCCTTAAAAGTATATAATTGCTTACCAGGTAGTCAAACCATTAACAAAACATTCATAATCAGGCAAGGGGCTCCAAGGAAAAGAGAGGGTGCACCAGATGGAATCAAAGGACGAGCACGCTATAAGGCTGAAGAGTCGTTTTACCAAAATCCATATCCTGAATGCATATGCAGTTCTAAACATAGATATAGATGATACAGGATGGGTTCCGTTAGGAACCTAAAATTGATTAGGAACTAAGGAACCATCAACAACGTAACACGTGGCATATTCATTATGAATGTGTTATTCATGATGACTATTTATCCTGAAGAGGGACGCGTGGCATGCTGTGAGTGGTTCCTAGGTTTCTAACCAATTTTGGGTTCCCAACGGAATTTTCCTCTAGATTATATAATTCAAAAGGTCTTAAAGCAACAATTCCTAAAAATAGCAATATTGTTGCAAGGATTTGCATATCAAAACAGTAAAAGTTTTTGTTTTGTTATAAAGTTTTTTACTTGTATTCCAGAAGAGTGCATAAAGACCTACCCATTACGGTGATCATGTAATATTTTGCTACGATGCTAGATGCTTGTTAGTTTTTTATGATTCCACTATTGCGTGATGTATTAGGGCAAAAGGTAACGTGCAATGTACATGGAATTCTATAGATCTACGATGTATTGAGTAGTGAAACTACCAAGTGACGAATTCTTATGTTATTGTATCGAGACATTTCTTGTGAGGAAGATTTTAAAAGGAAGTTCGAATGTAACAAAAAGGAGTGCTACCTTTTGGTTTTGCATGGATTGAATTATTCAGTTGGTTAGAAAAACTTAAAAGTTTTCCTCACTAACATTAGCCTAGTGGATAAGGAGGTGGATATCTTTACAGAATGAGTAGAGGTCCAAGGGCATCTCCATTGCTTACACTAAGTCCATAAATATTGGTGTAAAATCTGGTATAAACAATAAGGTTTGGTTTGTAAAATTGTTTTTGAGGGATTTGGTTATGGAGGTACTTGGATTGGATTGGATTTAAAATTCTCTATTGTGTTTGGTTTGTAGAATTTAGATTGGATTGGAAATCCATTCCTTTATAAATCATGTTTGGTTTGTACGATTTTGGATTGAGATTTTTTTCTTTTGTAATTATTTGTTTGTTTTATAAGTAATTTCTTTTTATTGATAAATTCATTTTTTAATATTAATTTCTTCAAAACTGTATATTTAGTCACCAAATCTCTTTCATTTTCTCAAAACTATATATTTAACCAACAAACCTATTTAATTTAAAATGCATATTTAACCACCAAACCTGTTAATCCAAAATGCATATTGAACCACTAAACCTATTAATCCAAAATGCATATTTAACCACTAAACCTGTTCATCCAAAATATTGATCTAGTATATTCTACTTGTTCACTTGTGTCGGTTTGGGGTCGGTCAGTTCACTGGGAGGATCGCCCTCCCACCCCTACACACGAAATTCCACTCTCCTCTGTCTCACGGCGTCGGGCCTGCAACTTTCGCCAAGGAAAGGCTTAAACTAGAAGGGATAAGGGAGGGAAATGCATATTTAACCACTAAACTTGTTCAACCAAAATGCATATTTAACCAACAAATCTATTAATACAAAATATATGTTTAACCACCAAATTATTATTCCAAAACCACACATTTAGCCACCAATTTTTTTCATTCATTCAAAACCCAATTCACATAAGCTTTCCTATCTGCTTCTTGCAAGTCTCAAAACATGTTCACCTTTTCAGGATCGTTTCTTATCATTGAAATTACTTTAAACTTCTCCGATTGGGTCAAGGACTGCATTTTTGAGATCTCTGAAGTGATTATCGAACGTTTCTTATCAATCCATTTCCTGTCCAATTACTCAAATTGTTAAACATATATTCAAAGTACAAATCTCGTACAACCTTTAATAACTCAAATTGTTCGATTCAGAATTTTGCCAAGTAAATGAAAGCAAAAAAAAAAAAAAAACACAAATTCAATATATGGTTGGTAAAAATGAAGTATTTTTATTGGCAAAGTATCTCCTAAAAAGCAATTAGTAGCTAATCATATAAGGAGCAAATAAAGAATGACATAGATAAGTATTTGAAAATGGGAGCACTTCTCTTTATGACTTGCCACTTATCCATTAATACCAAGTGTATAAGAATCAAGAAACTTTGGGCCAACTTTGCAGAGTGGTAAGGAAAGCTTAAGAAGAAAATAAAAAGATACCAATTATGCCAGTTCTCTCTCTCATTATGGCCTCGTACATACCCAAATAGGAATAGAAAATCTGCTACAGTTAGAGGGAAAATAGAGTTTTGAAACAGAGTTTAATGCCTAGGCCTCAAAGAAAGAGGTTTTAGGTTATTGGGTTGAAGTTTAGGCATACCTAGTTCCTTACTACTAACAACCTTTTCACTCCTCTTCTTGTCTACGTAGAATTTCACAGTAAAGAGGTATTTTATTTGTATTTTATTGTTGACATAATAGATGTGATATCAAGACAAGAAGAGGTTAGAATTCAAGTTGAAATTGACATAGTGAAAAGACAATAAAAGACCGAGTCTCAAGCAGCTGTAGTTAGTGAAAAAGTGATTCAAATGGAAACCCGATCTGAAGTACAAGTGCAAGTTGAACATCGACCTAAAGTTGTTCAATCTAAACCTTCTAAACCTTAACCAGAGATTGATCAAACCCAACGTGATCAACCTATTCAACTAGTTGCAATTGGCGTTTCTGCTCAGTCTACTATTCTAGAGGAAACATAAGAAGTGGATGCAAATACTTTGTTTCTTGAATACAGGTATGAAATTCAGGAAAAAATAGCACTGCTCATGTCGATCAAGTGGGAAGCCGAAACAGAAATAGAAGCTGTGATTACAAAATAGAAACAGGTTAGAATCCTAGCTTGAATAACAACCCCTAGTCAAACAACACACTTTCCACAACCGCAAGTAAAGACCATAGGGACCAGTTGGAATTATTCAATATAATCAGAATTCTAAGCACAATCATTTAAAACTTCTCTCACATTCAGATTTAATATGATCTATTTGTCAAATCAGAAACAAAAAATCAAAGCTAAAATAGTTGTTTCTGAACCTGATTTGAATAAAGCATGTTTATGTAGCAACATAAATAATATAATTGTAGCAACAATATGGTAACGAGGCACAAAATCCCAAATCAAGATGGATATGGGGAGATCTTGGAAAAATAGCAGAAAAAAAATTCAACCAACATAACTGAAACACTGATCAGTAAAAAAAATATGGCAAAGTAGCAGCAGTGCTTAACAAGTGGGAATAAAACATCAATAACATTGTCGTAGTATTGGACAAACCCCAAATCCTTCGCAACTGTTTACGAAACAGTAGGTCTTTCTATAGAAAACTCAAAGGTCAAGAAATCTTTGTCCGATATACAACCTCCATATTTTTGATCTTCGCATATGTCCCATTCAGAGGTTGTATCATCACCGACTATCTAAAGACCAATTGACATCCACGAAAAGGGGAAAGGGAAGTCTTTTTTATACGACTTCAACAATGAAACCGTGCAACTATGTTTATGAGAAATCATTAGAAATATACCATCTCGTTCTAGCATATATAGAAATCAATGGTGGAGCTTCATCCTTTTGATTGCAGATTATATCAACAAAAAGAGCTTCATATTTGCAGTCCCTTTTTTTATATAATTGCTCAATGCAAACAAAAGACACCCATGTCTTGCTACCAGATTATATCAACAAAATGATCAAATTTAAGGTCTAAAACACCAAATTTCAATCAATTTTAAGAACTAAATAAAAAAAGCATCAAATTTAAGGTCTAAAACTCCCAAAATAGAACTGAAAGAAGCATTAGTCCCAAAAAAATGCTATAAATGCCCCCAAACAGAAAGAAGCATTAGTTCCAAAAAAGTCATTTAAAGGGTCTTATCGTTCTAATCAGAAAATCAAACATGACATGCATCGAAAGAAGTGTCTCAGTGACTTGAACATGACGTAGTGAATACTCATCGGACCTACTTTGTGGATAGTGACAAGAAGTCTTGAACTAGCCATGTGTTTGTAGTAAGTCTAGACAATAAGTATCACACATATCATGTTAATGCATAAATCGGTTCTTATCATTGTGTTCATTTCCGTCGTGAACAAATCCTTCTTTATGAGACTTTTAGATGACATAGCCATATAGTCCTCGAAGATGCGACCCCACATCAGTATCATATAGGTAATACTGATCAAGAACATTCCGTAGTGTTCCACTATGAAGCTATCAGTATTATTAAAAATAGAATTTATCCCTAAATCATTACGAAAAATACACAAAATAAAACATCATAGGAATAGGCATACCTGTGTATTGAAGCTTGAGTCTTCCTCAACTAGTTTTCCTATTGAATCTAGACCATGGGATCTCCAATGTTGCTAGGTTAGGTTTCCGTCGGGTGGTGACTCATTGAGTTGGCTTTAAGCCCATTCCCCTTGGTGTATAGGAGACTTGTTCTCTATTGAGGCCTTTGCTCAAAGGATCAGCAATATTTTCCTTTGATTTCACGTAATCAATAGAGATAATTCCATTCTTGAGCAAGTCTCGTATGGTTTTGTGGCGCCGCCTAATATGTCTTGATTTACTGTTGTAAATGTGATCATTTGCCCTTGTTAGAGCTGCCATACTATCACAATGTATGCTAAAAGCAGTAACAGGCTTAGGCCACAAAGTAATACCCTCTAGGAAGCTTTTGAGCCATTCGGCTTCTTCAGCCTCTTTATCTAAGGCTACAAATTCGGCTTCCATAGTGGACCGTGTGTCCACGGTTTGCTTAAGAGATTTCCAGGATATGGCTGCACCACCAAGTGTAAATACATATGCACTTGTGGATGTACTTTTAGAATGGTTGGAAATCCAATTTGCATCACAATATCCTTCTAGCACGGGAGGATACTTCGTGTAATGTAACCCATAATTCATTGTGTACTTGAGATATCGAAGCACTCGTATTAGTGCGTACCAATGATCTTTGCTTGGGTTATGTGAGTATCGACTAAGTCTACTCATGGTATATGCTAGATCTGGTCGAGTACAATTCATGATGTACATCAAACTCTCTAGTACTTGAGTGTATTCTAGTTGAGATACACTATCTCCTTGATTCTTCTTAAGTTTGCTAGAAGGATAATATGGAGTTACTACCGGTCTATCATCATAGTGACCATATTTCTTAAGTACTTTCTCAACATAATGTGATTGAGTAAGTGTGTAACCATTAGGATCTCTTAGGATCATTATTCCAAGAATCACATCTGCTACTCCCAAATCTTTCATGTCAAACGAGGAGTTCAACATTTTCTTGGTTTGATTGATTACATCAAGGTTGGTCCGCATGAGTAGCAGATCATCTACATATAGACATAGTATGACATATGCGTTCTTGAATTGTTTCACATAAACGCATTTGTCATGCTCATCAATTTAGAAACCGTTTGATATAAGAGTGTTACCAAATTTCTCATGCCATTATTTTGGGGCTTGTTTAAGTCCGTATAGAGACTTAAATAACTTGCATACTTTGTTCTCTTGGC